CACTTGCTACAGAGGGTCAAGGACTGCACCCTTCAATATGGATTGAGGCTCAATATCAAGAAGACAAAGATTCTCACCACTGGGCCAATTGGAAGCATCAGGGTGGATGGTGAAGAGATTGAGATTGTACACAGCTTTAGTTTGCTTGGCTCCACAGTCAACACTCTTGGCACCAGCAGCCAGGAAATGAAAAGATGTATTGCGATGGGAAAGTCTGCTTTTAGTGGCCTCTTCAAAGTACTGAAGAGCAATGGTGTCTGTCTGGAGGCTAAGGTGAGTCTGATACAGGCCATAGTCTTTTCAATCACTTGTTATGTGCCAGAGAGACAATGACTAGGGAGGATAGAAGGAGAATTGATGCCTTTGAGCTGTGGTGCTGGAGAATAGTATTGAGTGTACCATGGACTGCTAGGAAAACAAACAGATTCATCTTGCAGAGGGTTAAACTGGGCTGCTTCTTGGAGGCAAGGATCTTGAGGCTTTGTCTGACATACTTTGGACATGTTGTAAGGACGGATCGGTCCTTGGAGAGGGTCATCATGCTTGGGAGGGTGGAGGGACAGCACAGGAGGAAAAGGCCCTCTATGAGGTGGATTGATTCAGTGACTGGGGTAATCAGGATGGGTGTATCAGAGACAATGCAATTGGCATAGGACAGAGCAGAGCTTAGGGATGTTGTACATAGGGTCGCTATGAGTTGCAAGTGACTCAACCGTACATAACAACAACAACAACAGCGTAATTGCATTTTCCTCACTTCCTTCCTATAAATCTAATTTCCATCAAGCCTTCTTTGCCTCTCTGCCTTCCCTTTCTTGAGTGATATTATGGTGATCATCTCATTCTTGGATATTGCTTTTCTTTCACCCATCTCAATAGGTGCCTTTTATATATGTACAGATTTTTACTCCTCTCTCTTCCTTTTTATCCCTGTTATCCATCTAAAATTAATTCTGTTTGTATGTAAACCTTTCCTTAGCTTTTTTAACAGTGGTCTTTTGTGATTGACTTACTTCACTTTGCATAATATCCTCTGGATACATGCATTATTTGCAGTGTTTCATGAATTTTTCCTTTTTCAGTGTTGCATAGAACTGTATTATGTGAATGTACCATATTTTCTTGATCCATTCATCTGTTAATGAACACTGGAGTTGTTTCCTTCTCTTGTCTCTTGTAAACAGTGCTGCTGTGAATATGTTATTGTTACATGCTTTCAAGTCAGAACCACCTCAAAGCTGACCTCCAGTGAGTTTTCAGAGGCAGTAAATTGCAAAAGAGGAGATTCTTATCTTTTTCTCCTGCTTTGTGGATTTTAATTTTGTGACTTAGAGTTTGTAGCACAACTTCTTACCACCAGGACACCAGAGCCCTCTGTAGTGAATGTGGATGTACATAAATCTACTTATATTGCAGCTCTTATTTTTTCTGGGTATTTGTTTATTAGTAGGATTGCTGGACCAAATGGTATTAATAAAATTATATTTTACATTTATAAGTATATCTGCATGATTTAGAACTATTATTATTGCTTCTTAGTGTTTTAATTTATGTCTTCTCTAGATTTATTCTGTCACTGACTATTCTATTCATGAAGAGTTTGGGATATTTCTTTTTATTTACAATAAATGTTTTCTTCTTAGTTACTTGTCCTTGTTGTTAATTGCCTTCGAATCAAGCACAACTCATAATGACCCTATGAATAAAAGCCTTGAAGCCCCTCTACAACTATCGACATTTATTAAATTCTTATTTTCTGGAGACATGTTATTTAGGAAGTGGATGGCACTCTTGCTTAGTTACTTAGCTATATATTTTCCATTTATACATTTTTTAGCATAAAAACTAAAAATAACTAAAATCATGATTAATCACAAAATTGTATTACTATAGAAAATAGGAAATTTTTTCTTATTAAAATTTTGTATGTCTGAAAATATAATGAACCAACATTCTATATTTATATCTCTTTTGTCAGAAATAATAATGACAATTTTTGTGGTTACAGGTACAGATCCAAGTGAGAAGTAGCAAAGCTGCTTTTGACAAGCTAAAGATGGATGTTTGCCAGAAAGTTGATTTACTTGGAGCTAGTCGCTGCAATATGTTATCCCATTCCCTCACTACCTACCAGGTACCCAACTGTATAATCAGCATGTCCTTGCAGTAAAGATGAGTGGTGAGATTCCTTTTTAAAAGTTGTCTAAATGGTGTAAAAATTCTATAAATGATCAGATATAAAGATATCTGACATATTTTGCTAAAACTGCCCTATTGGGGTGGTGACAGCCAAACAATCACAGAATCCTAGACATTAAAGATTGCCTGATCCTATAGCTTCTTGTTCTGTTTCTTGTCTTGGAGGCCGCTTGAGGAAGATTTAGGAACTCTGTGTGGTAAGGAAGTAAATGGGGAGGGGGACAGGTTTCACTCAGAGCTACTCTGGTGATATTTTGAAATTTCAACTTTATATGAGGCAGAGGTGCTCTGCCCCCCCAAAAAAGGTTTGAAAACCATTTTGTTTTCTTCAGTTATTTCATGGATGAGTTGAGTGAAACCTAAGAGAATGGAAAGCAAATGACAATGTTGGGCCTTTAAACCTGTTTTCTAAATCTAGGCTATGCATTCTTTTCATTCTGCCATCTCTCACTACTTTAACCTCAGAAATCTTACTTGTATTTTACCACCCCAGGTCACATGTGAATAGCATGCAATAATTAAATCCAAGTTTAAAAACTGGAGCTCACTGCTTTCAAGTGGGTTCCAACTTCTTGCAGTCCTCCATTGGGTATCTGAGGCTGAAAATCCTAGTAAAAAGAGACTGCCCATCTTTCTTCTACGGAGCTGTTGGTGGATTTGAACCACTGCCAATGCATGGCCTTTGGGTTGACAGTGCAACTCACTATGGATGATGCCACCAGAGCTCACCACTCTTTAACTTACATATTAATAAATAACAGTGACATTGAATTTTTTTTATTTAATATTGGTTTGTCTACAAATATACATTGTGTTTCACACTATTCTTCATTCACATTGTGGTTTATACAATCATTCCCATGCATTATATTTTATTAAATTAGTCACCATTGGATTAAGCCCACCCTTAGACAGGCTTTTCAAGTTTCCTCTGAATCTTCTCCATTTTCTGTACCCTCTCCCTCCACCGAACAAATTGTATGATCCTACGATTTTGCCCCTATCCATCCTCAAGCCAATGAAATAGTGACATGTATTATTGTATATTTATAATCAGCAAAAAGGAAAACGAACTTTTATGTGATAAAAGGAAAAGGACATCCATGGTGGCTTTTCAGGGATTACCTAGTTCAGCTAATGCTGTAGAATTCAGGAATCAAGAAAAGAAACATTTACGAAAGAAAGTAAATGATAATCTCCATAACTTAATGACTGAAATGTACTACCTCTTCATTCCATTCTCCTTTGTTCTTGCCCCATATCCCTCTCACTTTGAACAGGAACCTTAAAGCAACGAGGAAGATGCATTTTCCTAAACTATGTTGAGAATAACTTTCTTGTCAAATATTTTGTCAACTCTAGATGAAAGACCAAATTTAATTGTAAATACTGTTTTTCTCAAACTAATAAGTACTTCTATGTACCTCCCAACACCAAGATTATATAGCTATTCCTCTTGTCATAGAGATTGTCATTTCTGTGCTTTTAACATTTCTCAGTGGCTTTCTTAGAAGATATTCCAATCCATCAACTCTCATTCCCTTGCCTGCAATTACTCTTTAGGTGTACATTCCACTCTGTATATACATGGACTCACATTCATGTAGACAAAGACGCCAATTCTTATACAGAAGTACTATTTATAGTACTTACTGGTTTCACAAACTTGGAAACTTTAATTTAGCTCCTTCTTACTATTTGGCAACTATTCACCTTATAAAAAAAATCCATCTACTGAGGAAAAATAACACTGAAAATCAGACAGAGAAAGTAGCAATAGTATCACTTTTTATTTTTCTTTAGAGAACATTACTTGGCTTCTGGGAGAAAACAGTTCAAATGATGTCCCACATACATGGGGAATGTACTGACGTCCATCCATATGATTTTGTAACTCTCAAGGTACATTTCTTTTCATGTTTGTTTTTTTTTTTTTTTTGTTAGGTGAATTGCATTGTATTTGAGTGCTAACATTAAAACAAAAACAACAACAAACAAACCCAAAACCAAACCTTGTTTTTCTGCCTGGCCTAATTTTAAATTTACAGAACATTGGGAATCATTTTTCTGCAGTAAAAATCTGTACTTTCCTGATTCTGCATTTTACTGACAACATTAAGAAAATGTGTGGGATTACCAATGATAGGCTGAAGATATTTGTATGGTGGGAGGAAAACAAGGAGAAAAGTGAATGGAAAATTAAAATGCAATAAAGAGAGAGAGGAAAAAAGTGAATGGGAAGGAAAAATTGAAAAACAAGTTATAGAAAGTGGTTATATTTTCTCAAAAGTGACCAGGTTACCTACCTTATAATTGTGGAAGTTAAAAACAAGTCTTATTTTACTTTTATATTGATATCACAGAATTTTTATATTTGAATTTTTACTTTTGGATTTTTATTCTAATTTTGTTTGCACAATAAAAAGCTTGTATCAGTTATGGTCATGTATTATTTTAGCCAAAGAGAGGAACATATTTTTTAAAAAATTATTTATTAATTTTAATGAAAGTTTACAGAGACTTAGGGTTTCCAGTCATTCATTGTTGCCCTTTTCTCCTTATCCCCCCAATCACTCCTCTCCTTGAAAAGAAAAAGAAAAACTCTTTAATTGTTATGCATTCCCTCCCCTTAAGTTCACTCCACTATGCAGCCTTCACTCTGGACTTCTGTAATGACAAGAATACCCATTCATATGTCCCTTTTAAAGAGATTTCTCCCTCATCTGTCTCAATGCAATATACGTCATTCCTCCCCTCCTTTTCTGTCTTCCCTCAACCCTGATGTCAGTCCCGTTTTTACAACAGTGGCCCTATGCAATATTGTCCTCTTGTGACTGAGATATTTCACTCAGCATAATGTCCTCCAGGGTCATCCATTTTACATACTATTTTGTGAGTTCCTTGTTTTTCAATGCTGCCTAGTATTCCATTGTGTGAATATAGGAGAGCTTCTCTATCCCATTCGTTTGTTGTTGGACACTTGGGTTGTTTACAGCTCTTTGCTATTGCGAACAAAGCCTCAATAAACATGGGTGTGAATATATCTGCTTGGATGGCAGTTATGGTTTCTTTAGGGTAAATTCCCAGTCGTGGAATTGCTGGGTCAAATGGTATTTCTATTTACAACTTTTTGAGAAAGCATCACACAGCCAGCCTTCCATAGTGGTTGCACCATTTTACACTCCCACCACAGTGAATAAGGGTTCAGTTTCTCCACAACCTTGCCAGAATTTGATGTTTGCTGTTCTGTTAAATTTTGCTATTCTTACTGGGGTGAGATGATATCTCATAGTTGTTTCGATTTGCATTTCTCTTAGAGCTAGGGATTTTGAACATTTCTTCATGTGTTTGTTTGCCATCTGAATGGCTTCTTTGGGGAAGTGTCTGCTCATATCCTGTGCCCATTTTGCAGTTGGGTTCTTTACCTTTATCTTGTTGTGGCGCTCAAGTATTCTATAAAGTCTAGATATAAGTCCCTTATCAGACATGTCATTACTGAATACTTTTTTCCAGTCTGTGTTTTTGGATAGGGATTTGATTCTTAGAAGGTCCCATTCATCTATTTTATCCTCTCCTGGTTGTAAGTAACATTTTCTTAAGAGATCTTTATCATTCTAGTGCTTTAATGTTTAATATATGCCTGTCATCCTTCTCTGCAAATGACTTGTCCAGAAGTCATACTGCACTAATCTTTTCTTTAGTTCTAATAGGCCAGACTCTGATACCTTTTATCTACCAGAACTTGAAAGTATTGCTTGTGAATTTGCTCAAGCCAAATGATCTCTCTCATAAATTCATACTACACAATTATATGTATTAATGATATTTGGTCTACATATTAAATCATGTTCTGATGTGGTATCTTCCAGCTTAACAGACGCTCTTGTATTGGATTTGTTGTTGGGTTTGTTTTGGTTTTTAACTTTTATAGTACAAGATTCACTGAAGAGTAAAACTGTAAGCAAATTCACCTTCTTAAATTTATATTTGAGAAACTTGAACTTTATTTAATAGAGTTTGTAGTGCAGGCTAGGAACACAATAAAAATCTTTATGCATATCACAATGATGTTGTCCCTGAGGCTAGCACATGTCCCAGTGTGTAGAGTTCCCACTGACAACCAGGTAAACAAGAATTTGGGATGATGTAAACTACATTTGTATGCATTTCTCATAGCTCATACTCTCTAGTTCCAAAAGTATTCTGATTTTATACTATTCTTTAGAATTGACTCATTTTGTTTGCAAAAAGAGGGCAACGGATACTTTCCATCTAGTTAACATTGAATTTCTTATCCTTAGCGACTACAAGACACTTCAAGCAAGCTTTCTGAGGACCACAAAGAGGAACACAAAGAAGACAATTCTCTTACTGAAAATCTTAATAAGTGAGCAGGCAAAAATTATATAAAGTGTTATGGAAGTTTTTTATTCCATTGTGTCATATATTTGGAAAGAGTTATTTCTTCTCTAACTTGCTGAGGAAAAAAAAATATATATACCATTTTCCCAATTGAAAATTTATTTTAGATATCTGTATTTCCTCTTTTCATTTTTAACATGGTAGGCAAAGGATATGACAGAAGTACAGAAAAAATTATTTTAGTGATTATTGCAAAATATTTTCTTATTTTTAAAGGCTTATTAAAAATAACTTCCACTACTACTAACCAAAATGAGGTCATAAGGATAAGACCTAAATCTGTGTTATGTCTTGTTGCATCATATTTTGATATTTTACTAGATGCTATAAATATTCCAAATTAGTATTGAGTCAAAATGTTTTTGGCTAATGTATCTTCCTTTACAAACATGACTTTATTATTCAAAATAATGTACCCCACCAGAAAAAAAAAAGAGAGGGAAAAAAATAATGTACCTTATTTATGAAGTTTTTCCATTATAAACTTCCACTTAAGTTCCCAAGTGTTCTTTAGCATTCTTCAGTGCTTAAAAAGGGAACTCCAAGCTTTGTTGCTTCCTTTATCTTGTTAAAATTGAGGATGTTCTCTATGATATAATAGTTAGCAAAATGCCTATAATACTAAACATGATGCCAGGCACATAGTTCATAGTCAGTAATGTTTAATGAATAAAACAGAATAAGAGGCGAATCTTTAGTCTATGTAGAACTATAGAATAGGTAATTTTTTCAAACATAGATTTCATAAAATCATTTGGACAACTTATATGTCTCCTTTTTTAAAAAAAATATTGAAACTACATAAAATTATTTACTGAACATGAATCCCAAATGAATTTTAACCAAAATCTGTGCTTTTTTTTTTTACACTTTCTTTTCAGATTAGTTTTGTTAAATGAGGAAGAAAACTTGGAAAGTGAACCAGGTAAAATGCATTACTTTGGAATGATGACATTTTAAATATAAAAACAGTTTATCACAGCTTTTTAAAAAAGATTACATTAAGATCCATTTAATTAAAAAATATGTAAGTCACTCTATATAGGTCCTCTCTGTAGAAATACTTTTAAAAAATTGTATTTCCAAAAGTACCTATTTTTAGAGGTCTTCAGGCCATGTCAAATAGTTTTAAATGTAGCAATCCAATTTACATATTGGATCCATGCTTTAATTTAAAATTTTGCTCATACTTTGTCTTCTTATGAATTATTACAAGTGTTTATTATATATTCAGTCAACATGTACTTTAATAATTGTGGTAGCATAGTCTGTAGGGAGTTCAGTTGCTAATCCAAAGAAGATGCCTCTCCTGTGATTTAAACCCACCAGAAACTCTGAGAGAGAATGGTGGGCAATCTCTTCCCATGTGATCTGTTGTTGTTACCTGCCCTCAAATCAACAGCAGTTCATAGAGACCCAATGAATAACAGATCTGAACCTTGCCCTATCCTGGGCCATCTTCATCATCTCTGATTACTTGAACCCATTGATAGAGTCAGTCCATCTTGTTGAGATTTGTTGTTGTTATGTGTCATCGAGTCACCTGCAACTTATAGTGACCCTATAAACAGTAGCTCTGAAGCTTGCCCTGTCCTGAGCCAATCTCACTGGCTCTGACACACCTATCCCCATTACCCCAGTTACTGTGTCAGTAACCAGGGTCTTCCTCTCCTGTGCTGTCCATCCATCTTTCCAAACATGATGTCTCCTTCTAAGGACTGGTCCCTTTTGGCCACATGCTCAGAGTAAATGAGACAGAGCTTCAAAATCCTAGCCTCGAAGGAGAACACTGGTTTCTCTATCACTAAGACAAACCTGTTCGTTTTCTTGGCAGTCCATGGTATGTTCAAGACTCTTCTCCAGCAGCACAATTCAAAGGCATCTGTTCTTCTTCTGTCATCCTTAGTCACTGTCCAGCTCTCTGATGCATAACAAGTAATTATGAAGACCATGGCCTGGATCAGGGGCACTTAGTCTCTAGACTGACAACATTGCTTCTCAGTACTCTGGACAGCAGATTTTCCCAGAGTATAAAGCCTAATAATAAGGTATTCTTGCTTGATAACTTTATATGTTTTATACTTAATGTTTTTAATAACAAGTATACAATATACAGAGAGCTCTGGTGGTCTAGTGGCAAGAAGCTGTGCTGCAGTGTCAAAGGCACGTGGTCTGAGGCCATTAGCCACTCCATGGGAGAAGGATGGGCAGTCTCCTCCCATGCGATTAACTGCCTCTGAAAATGTGCCAGAGAGTCAGCTATGGGTCATATCTGACTCTGTGATAACACAATGACAACATACAGTAGACAAAGATCAAAGTGTGTTACAGGGCATATGACTATAAAGACATAATTAGTTATAGCAACAAAAGAGAGAGGGACTGGAATAGTATAATGACTTTCTTGTATGTTACTGAAGTTAAGTTAGTAACAAATGAACCTAGAGTGTTATAAATACAAGCTCTTACATGTAATATTCACGGAAACCACTAAGAAAATAGTGAAAGGAAAGAAGAAGGGAACAAAAAAGGCTCAACAACATTGTTGTTGTTGTTG